GCCTGGAGAGTCTCCGCGCGTGCAGCCGAGCGTGTTTTCGTTTCGGAGGACGCCTGCTCTCTTCTCCGGCGAAAGCGCGGAGATGAGCTCTACTACACCAGCGAGAAGCCCCAATTAGTGGATGGGTTGATCGATAAGGAGATCGACCGGGAGCCCGGGAACCCGGAACCCACCGATGTCGGCTTGGAAACAGCCAAGAACACGGAAACCCAGAACCGGGAACCCAGCCGGCCACCAAAATCGGCGGGACATGTTTGCCAAATCTGTGAATTTCCGCTATGACCCCGTCAGTGCAAGCACAGGTTGGGGAATTTTTTGGCCGGGCATGTCCTCTGACAGGCGGATGTTGGACGACAAATTCAAAACAGTCCAAAAACATGTTCAGACATAGTGACATAGTCAAGAAAATGTAGGACAATCGTCCCCTGACCATGTTGTTACCATTTTGGAGACTCCTCCTGTAGAGGGACATCCCCGTCGTTCCGTGTTCAGTTTTGTGGATGGCAGCACGATGTTTGCAGTGGTGGGAAGTGGGGTGGGGGATCGGGTCGGACGAAAAGGGCTTGGAGTTGTGTTGCGCCCTGCGTACTTAAGGACCACACCCCAGAAACAATTCGGAGCACCCAGAGAACGATCGAAACCGTGTCGAACGAGTAGTGCCTCCCAGGGCCCGGCACGTGAAGACCCTCCAGTTACGGTATCTTCTTGGTGCCTGAAGCCCTTCCTGGTGATCGGGGCTAAAGGAGGTTGGAGCATCGTACTGTACAGTCGGGGCCCTGAAGAAGGAACCCTTTTCGTTGGGGAGGGGCTCCGCGTTCCTTACGTGTTTCACAGCTTGCCTCAGGCTTTCCTTATGTTTTCGACAGGAAATCGAAGGTTATGTTATGGAAAAAAGGGGCCTCGTTCCTTATTTAGGGTTCCTTTGGTCAACGCCCCGACTGTAGGGCTGGATGGGGGGGTGTCTAGAACCTGCTGCGCCCGCTGCGCGCGGCTGCGTCCCGCCCCGCCGCCGAGCGCTCCCCCCGACCCCCCTCCACTCGGACCCCACCTACGAGGCACCTCCTCACGAGATCATAGGGGGCCACCTGCGAACCCCACCCCTGACCCCCCACGACTTCTGAGGGGGCGGGTGGGGTTCACCTCGTTCGGGAGCTCCCGAGCGAAGTGAAGCCCACCCTCCCCGTGAAAAATCGTGGGGGGCAGGGGTGGGGTTCGCATGTGGCCCCCTAAACCAGCCACCGCCCGGTCGGAGGGCGCGGAAGGTGGAGGAGTCCGGGAGGGGGCCCGATTCACCCCGCCCGCCCAGGAGGCGCGCGGAATCGCTGCTCGGGGGCCCATCGCTGGTCTCTTGACGATGTCGCTTCTGCCGACTCGAGCTCGATGCCGCGCCCCGCCGCCCCGCCCCGCCGCCGAGCGCTCTCCCCGGCGCCCGCCCACCTCGGGCGCCGGGAGGCGCTCGGACAGCCAGCTGCGCGAGCGGCTCCGCGAGTGCCCCCCCCCCCCCTCTCGTGGCATCGTGCGGGCGTGCGCGCGCTCCCCTCCTGCCAGGGCCACCGAGGGGCGCACTGGGCCCTCTCGCGAGCCACGAGCGCACGAGGCCGAGCTCGAGGCCCCCCTCCCGAGCCAGCCCCCCTCCTGGCGCTCCCCCTCGCGGGCGCCGCCCCTGCGCGCGGTCGGCGAGCGCCCGGAGGCGTCCAGAGGTGGCCCCCCGCAGGCCGGCGGGCGCGTGGGCCTTGGCGGGATCGCCGTGCGGGTGCAAACGGTTTCGCCGGGGAAAAGGTCGAGGCATCCAATCGGGAGGACCGACATGGGTACGGAAAGAATGGGCACGAAGACCGGCAGCAGTTCTTGTTCATTTTGAACAGGACTCGCTGTCGGCGTCGCCGCGGATTGTGTCCATGTGGGACAGAAGGCCGCCCGCCAAACAGCGGCCGCTGTTGATTCGGGAGAATATTTGCTGTTGGGCATTGTGCCCATTATTTCCGTACCCATTTCGGGCATCCAAATCCAAGAAAAACAAAAAGCCATAAGCCATAAACTTGTGGCGCTCCGCGCGGATTTCTTGGATCCGCGCGGGACCCCCCCGGCGGTGCCTCCAGCGCCGCCCCTGGCGGGATGTGTGTCCGGCGCAGATCCAAGAAATCTGCGCAGAGCGCCAAAAGTTTCTAATGCATGGCTCTTTTTTCTTGTTCTCAACATTCATCCCAGATGCCCGGCGATGTGACTTTTTTGAATCAGGTTGCGTCCTTTCTCGAGTTCAGCCCACGGGACTGCTGTTTTGGGGCTCCATCAGGACAATCAAATAAGGGCTCGGGGCAACGAGCTGCCCCGAGGGAAGGGGCCGGGGCATCCTGGGGGCCGCCCCTTCCAAACACACACATCGGCGGATATCAGGGAGTCAGGACCGTGGATTACAGTCAACCCGCATAGTAAGGATGGGCAACCTTCCCAATGGTACCCTTGCATCCTTGTCTCCTGGCCACTTTCGTTGGCCGCGACCCGCTCGAAAAGCTTCGAAGTGGGCGTCCAAGGCCCCTGCATCCTTATCGCGCATCTTTATAATAGGAGTCAACTGCAGCGACGGGCCTGGTTTTCACGCGACATCGGCGCGCGCCGTCGTCAAATCAGTCCGGACAGGTTGCATGTTCCGGGGTGGTCCCCGATCCAGATCCATGGATTCGGTGCCCATGCGCCAGATCCACGGATCCCCGCTTCATGTGAGCGCGTGCCCGAAAAGGGCAGCACACTTGGCGCTGCGGCCTCTGCGGGCTCATCCCCGAGGCGACGATGGGGCCCGCGCGCGGCAGCCACCGTTAGGCCAGGAGGCCGGGCAGCGGGAGTGGGGAGGGAGGAGCTTCGTTGTCGGTGCACCGAGAGGCCGACATCCACTTGTCATCGACAACAGGGGAACCCCTAACGCTAACGACACGATGAAGACGTGGCCTCGCTCAGGTCCCCGTCTCGGACCCCCTATCCCTAATGTCTTGGGCTCTCCTAACTTAGGTCCCCTCCCAAAGGAGTAGGGGTCCTTTTGCTGCTGATCACCTTGGCCGCCCGCTCTGGCGCACATGTAACAGCGCTCTGCGCCTCGCGGTCTGGGCCAGGGCGGCTGCTCCTCTCCAAGGGGGCGGCGCGAGGGCGCGAAGGCGATCGCGCGTCGCGCATCGGTGGGCGCGATGCGCGGTATCAGGGGGCCCAGCAGCTCCTCTTCGGCGGAAGGCCGGCAGAAGTAAGATGCAGGTTCGCCCGCCGGCGTCAGCTCGGCGGAAAAATCAGACATCTGCCGTCCAAGAGCTGCATGCCTGTTCTGACCTCTGGGTTTCTGGGGTCCCCCACTTGACGGCGCGCACAAGGGGGGGGGGGCGACAGGGGAGTGGGTGTTTATCAACATGTCTTGCTTCGAGTTCTCGTTTTGAAAAGTCACCACCCACCAAACCACCCCAACCCAACCCGAAGGCTCAGATTTTCCCTCGAATTCCAGTGGGGGGGGGGTCTGGAAACATCGAAAAAAAACACATGTGGAACCCTTACCCCCCCCAACCCGAAATTCGGGTCTTCGGGTTGGGTTGGGGTGGTCTGGTAGGTAGTCAAAAAGAGCACTGCGGTCGCGACCTCCTTGTTCTCCTCCCACCCCCCTCCGTCTCTCTTCCCTCCTCCCTCTCGTCTCCTGCCTGTACCTGGCTTGCACCTGCCTGCCAGCCTGCCTCTCACTTCGCCGTCTTGCGTTGCCACGTCATCCCTGGGGGGGGGCAGCGAGCTGCGGAACTGTCGCCACCTTCGGGGGCTGCCAGGGGGCCCAGCGGAGTGGCGTCGTTCGAGGACCTGCACTGGACCTCGCCATCCCTGGGGGGCTGCGATCTGCGAAACTGTCGCCAGTCTTGAGGGCTGCGGGGGGGTCCAGCGGAGTGCCGTCATGCGCGGGCTCAGTTTGGACCCCGCCATTCCTGGGCAGTCACAGCGATCTGCGAAATCGTCGGCTCTTCTGAAGGCTGCTTGGGGGTGCGGCGGCGTGACGTCCCGCGGGTCCCGAAGGCCTGGCGGAGCGCCTGCGAGCGTTTAGCTCCCGCGCTGCGCGGTGCAGGAAGGAAGCCGCGAACCTGGTCGGCGAGGTCGGCGTCGTTCGCTGCTTGCACTAGCTATGAGCATCCGCCCATTCGCGCCACCCGCATGTGCGTACCGGCAACGAGCGGCACATGCCCTCTGCGGATGAGGACACGCATGTGTAACATGATCTGTTCCGCCATCGGGGAGGCCTGTCCAAGGCCGTTGGGAGGTTTACGGGCATCCCCGTGTGTCGCCGTACGGGGCATTTATGCACAACTCTTGTTATTTTTTGCGAATTCATGCGCGGACCAGCTGGGCGGGGGTGCACGCAGACCCAGACGAGACCTCGCGGATCGTTGGGGGGGTGCCACTTGCGCAGTTGTCGCGTCGGGAGCTCCTGGGAGGTCGCTGGAGTGCTGCTGTCCGCAGATTCAGACGAGACTTCGCGGTCCCCTTGGGGCTGCCAAGTGCGCAAGCGTCGCCACTGTCGTGGGCCCTTGGGAGGTCCAGTGGATGGGAGTTGTGTGCGCCAGTGCAGACGAGACCCTGCGGTCCCCCTCGCGGGGGCGGCCCATTGCACAGTTGTCTTCGCTTCCTGCATTCTTGGGGGGCAGCGGATTCGAGTTGCACGCGGATCCAGGCGAGACCTTGCGGCCCTCGCGGAGACTGGCAAGTGCGCAGCTGGCCTCTTTTTGTGGGCTCCTTGAAGCCCAAAGGGGGCTGCCAGCTGCGCAGCAGTCGCCATCGTCGGGAGCTGGGAGGTGCATCGGCGCGGAGATGCACGCGGATCCAGACGAGGCATCGCGGCCCCCTGGAGACTGGCAAGCGCGCAACCTGTCGCCAATATCGGGGGGTTCGGGGAGGCCCAGCGGGTTTACGTCCTAGAGGGGGTCGCCATGTTCGCGGACCATTGAGACGCGGGCGACGTGGACAGCCTTCGGCTGCACTTGTGCGTCATGCCGCCCACGGCCACTAACAAGGTGAAGCTGCCCGTGAGCCACGGCCTGAGGAGGAGGAGGAGGGGGAGGAGAGGAGGAGGAGGAGGAGGAGGAGGAGGAGGAGGAGGAGGAGGAGGAGGAGGAGGAGGAGGAGGAGGAGGAGGAGGAGGAGGAGGGAGGAGGAGGGTTGATGTCGCCGGTGGCTCTCGCGTCGCACCTGCGTATGTGATGCCCGCCAGGACAGCGCGTGGAAGAGGCCAAGCAGCCCGCCTTGCGCCCCAAGTTGGGAGCGGCCCTGCAATATATCGATCGACATGTCGGATGACCCTGCGTCCTCGGCTCCCCTTGCTCTTTTTTGCAGCAGCCGAGTCCGCGTCATAGTGCTGCGCGGTCTCTTTCTAGTTCCCCTCGGTTTCGATGTTTTTTGGGGGGTCGGTAGTCGTCGTGGCCGCCTCTCAATCCCCCATCGTTCTGGAGTGTCTCGTGTTGGCCACATGTGGCACGCTACGCGTAGGCCTCCGTAGCGCTTTTCGGAAAAACGGAATGCGCGCCCTGACGCATCATCCTTCGCTTTGGATTGCTCAGGTGGTATTGCCAGTTGTTGCGTGCGCCGTGGGTGTTTTTTCTGGCATTGGTAAACGTCGCTCTTCGCCAGCTGACGCGCAGGACACTTTTTTGAGGGTTGCGCACCTCTCGTGAGCGGCCTATAGGAGATGACATGCCGTTTCTTCAGTTTTGTATGTTTTCTCTTCAGTGCGGCTTCCGATGTCGAGCACTGGTACCAAACAAAACCTCCATGGGGGCAGTTCGCATGCAAGTTGTGCGTTAAAAGTGGGGCATAGCCTTATGCGGACGTTTGTGGCCTCCCTCTTCATGTCCATGGTATCCCCCATAACTGAGGAGAGGAGGATGAGGACTAGTTAGAGGATGAGGAGGAAGATGAGGAGGAAGGGGGGGAGGAGGAGGAAAAGCAGGATCAGCAGGAGCAGGAGGAGCAGGAGGATGAGGAGGAGGAGCAGGAGGAAGAGCAGGACGAGGAGGAGGAGGAGAAGGAGGAGGAAGAGGAGGCCGCCCGCTCGCGAGGCGTTTGTGCTCAAGCCTCTGCGGCGATCTGTGCCCGACACAGCGCGGCCATGGCACTTCACAGGCCCGCCCGCCGGCCCCAGACCTCAGGGCGTCGGAAACAGCAGCAGCCCTGGCATCTGGGCGTTGTTTGCTGTTCCTCGCGCTGGGCGTTGTCGCCGGGTATCTCAGAACCCGTCGGTCGCTAAGGGTAGATACTTTGAGGTGCCCAGGTCTCAATCTCATTGCCTGAGGCGCCTTCCTACGTCAAGAGTGGAGTGGTCTTCCCGCTTCTATCGTCCTCAGGGGGCGGGCGGAAGCCCAATCTATTTCCAACGTCTTCCTACTTCATGTTTCTACCCGCATCGTTTTACCGACCCTTATCCCCATCCCCATCCCTATCCAGACCCCCACCCTCTCAGCATCCCAGCCGGGGATATACTTGTCGAAGGAAGCAGCGTATATCCCCATCTGTGGGGGTAAATCCAGTGGAGCCCTGGCCACGCTCATGGGGATATGTGTCGGTTAAACGATTTTTAGTTCCGGGCCCCCAGACCATCACTGATCGATCCAGTTTGAAAAATGTAGCAGGGAACTTGGATGTAGGGCTGCGGTCGGGATTCTCCGCGGTGGCGCATTTTTGGCAACGTCGGGTCCCAGGGAAGGACGGACGGTTTATTGTATTTTCTTTGCGTCGGCGGTGTTTTCAGCTCAGTACGTCTACAGTTCTGCGACCCCCTTCCTGTTTCTCCTGGCGGGGAGGGAAGCTATTCCCCCCGCTTTCTCCTTTTCCTATTCCTCCTCCTCTTCCTCATCCTCCCCCTTCTCCTCCTCCTCTTCCTCCTCCTCCTCCGCATTCTCCTCCGCCTGCCTCTCGTTCTCCTCCTCGTCGAGGTCGCTGCCATGGTTGTCGTCGTCGCGGCAGAGATTTATTTCCCTCTGTTGTTGGGCGGGCTGGATAATGCTGGGGGGGCCCTTTCTCCCATGGGGAAGTCCATGGTGGGCTTTCCTACACGCGAAAGGACTCGTGAACACCTTCTCATGAGGATTGCAATGCTAATCAGTGGTTGTAGCTGTAGTCGTGATTGTAGTCGTTGTTGTAAGCGTCGATTGCAATCGTAATCGTCGTCGTGGTTGTCGTCGTAAACTTTATCGTAACCTCAGTCGTAGCTGTAAGTGACACCTTGTTGGACGGACTGGATCATGTGTGGGGTTCGTTCTCCCAAGGAATACGGTCTCTTGGACTACCCTGCAAAACAGAGGAACTCTGATACGTTTGTAAGAGGATTGCGTTATAGATCGACACATTACTCGCCAAAGGCGTCGCTCACAACCTCCTCTTTCATCTCGTCGCTGTCGTCGTGATTGTGCGGTGGGTGCCGCGGATAAATAGGTATCGTGCACTATTGATGGGGCCCCAGTCCTTCAATAAGGGCGTCGAAAAGTGAATAAGTTTCCATTTTCGTGGTGGGGGGGGGCTCTAAAGACTTACAGAGGCTACCGGGCCACAAACCACGACCCGAGGGTTACAGACTGGTGCCGCCTACGTTGTCCGAACTTCTGGGGGTCGACGTTGTTGAAAGAATGCGACGTTGGAAACGTGGGTTGCCTGAGCATTTTCGCCGTCGTCCACGTTCCCGTGATCCGCACCCTCGTCCCGTCCCTGTCCTCGCCGTCGTCGCCGTCCTCTATTTGCCCTCGCCCGCGCCTCTCCTCACACAGTCAAAGGTCAAAGGCTGGAATGAGGACCGATGGGTTCGGAACCGACTCTTGTTTTCGGGCCGCTCCATACAGCGGAGGCCCGACCTCAAGAAACCCTCCGCAAGAATCCCAACCCCGAGACCTCAGGATGTCCAGTGGCCTGTGGCGCGGGAGTGTCGCGCCCTCCACAGCAAAACCCTCGGAGCCCAGGAAAGGCCCAGGGCGCCCTGGAGGCAAGCAGGGCGCCTCTTGGCGTGGGCCTCCACTGGAACGTCGTGCCCTCCACGGCAAGGCCCTCGAAGCCCAAGAGAAGCCCAGGGCGCCCTGGAGGCAAGCAGGGCGCCTCTTGGCGTGGGCCTCCACTGCCAGGTCCTGGGCGGGGGGCCGCCGCGTGGCCGAGGCCCGCCGTGGCCCTGGCGGCCAGCCCCGAGATCTGGGCGTGTCGACGACACGTGGGAGTCTTGGTATCACCCGGACGTGTGCATTTTTCTTTCGGCGAGGACCATCGTGGAGAATCCTTGATCATTTGGCGAGAAAACCACGCACGAAGCCGAAACAAAAACAGGGAATGGACGTCCGAGCGATGGCCAGGAGTGCATACGTGCACCGTGGCAGTACTGGTATTCAGCTACAGCCAGCCCCTTCCACTCGCCGGCCCCGCCGCTGAGGTGCTGCGTGAGGCTCCGCCCCGCCGCTTTAGGTTAATTCGTCGTTGCGCGCCCCGCTCTGACTGGACTCGCCGCTGGCGCGCTCGCCTGCGGCCGCTGACAAAAACACGCACGTAGGAGTGACCTTTCGCCGGAGTGACCTTCGGTGCGGGCACGATGGTCGGTGGCGGCAGAGAGGGGGGTGATGATTAGGGGGGTGATATCATGGCGGGGGCCATGATCCATGATGTTCCCCCAGATGTCATGGCACCTCTTCTTATTTCATTGCGTCCCTGCCCCCCCTGGGCCGCGCACGTGCCGCCGGCCATGATTTGCACCCCCCCTCTTGGACCTCCCCCTCTCGGCCGCTCCCCATACACGTAAGAGTGATCTTCCGCCGGAGAGACTTTTGGTGGGGCACAATTCGGCACGAACGAAATGGACACGGAAAGGATGGGTACGATGCCTAACAGCAGTTCTTGTTCATTTTGAACAGGATTCGCTGTCCGCGCCGCCGCGGCCTGTGTGCATTTGAGACAGAAGGCCGCCTGCCCAACAGCGGCCGCTGTTGGTTTGGGACAACGTTTGTTGTTGGGCATTGTGCCCATTTTTTCCGTACCCATTTCGGGCGTCCAAAACAATTGGGTCCCCCGATCACCGATTGCGGTGCGATAGTAGCGTCTTGCGCGCCTGAGTTTGGTACCCCCGCGGCCTTCCAGAACCGCGCCCCAAAGGTCACTCTTGTGCAAGGTCGCTCTTGTGTGGAACCGAGCGCTGCAAGTTGTCCAAGCTGGGTGCCGGCGCCGTTTTCTTCGGGCCGTGCTGGGACCCTGAGACCTTGGCATCGCTCGGACGTGTGCGTGTTTTTCCTTCGGCGAGGACCATCGAGGAGCATCCTGGATCATTGGTCGAACAAAAAAACGCACGCAACCGACAAGAACACAGGGAATGGACGTCCGAGCGATGGCCAGTCCTGGTCGAACAAACATTTTGGAATATCAGGCTCAAGGCTACAGCCGTGAGGAGGAGGAGGAGGAGGAGGAGGAGGAGGAGGAGGAGGAGGAGGAGGAGGAGGAGGGAGGAGGAGGAGGAGGAGGAGGGAGGAGGAGGAGGAGGAGCAGGAGGAGGAGGAGGAGGAGGAGGAGGAGGAGGAGGAGGAGGAGGGAGGAGGGGGGGAAGGAGGAGGAAGGAAGAAGAGGAGGGGGAGGAGGAGGAGGAGGAGGAGGAGGAGGAGGGAGGAGGAGGAGGAGGAGGAGGAGGAGGAGGGGAGGAGGAGGAGGAGGAGGAGGAGGAGGGGGAGGAGGGGGGAGGGGGAGGAGGGGAGGAGGAGGAGGAGGAGGAGGAGGAGGAGGAGGAGGAGGAGGGAGGAGGAGGAGGAGGAGGAGGAGGAGGATGAGGAGGAGGAGGAGGAGGAGAGGAGGAGGAGGAGGGAGGAGGAGGAGGAGGGGGAGGGGGGAGGGGGGGGGGAGGAGGGGAGGAGGAGGAGGAGGAGGAGGAGGAGGAGGACGATGAGGAGGACGATGAGGAGGAGGAGGGGGGAGGAGGAGGAGGAGGAGGAGGAGGAGGAGGAGGAGGAGGAGGAGGAGGAGGAGGAGGAGGAGGAGGAGGAGGAGGAGCTATAGCCGTGGTCTCTCACCGTGTCGTATGAGGGGCCAGGTCTCGGGGAGAGCGCCCCCCCCACCTTTTGCTGCTCTGCTCGTCTTGTTTCCTCGTCCTCGCTCCTGCTCCTCCTTGCCTGGCCTCCTCGTGACCCTGACCTGTGCTTCTGTTACTTCTCTGCTGGCTGTCCAATGGCTTCCTGTTTTTCCCTCGTCCTCCTTGCGCGCGTGCGATTTTGCTGGGGTGTCGTGTGGCATGCCTGGCTTGTCCAGCGGTCTCTTGTCTCACGTCGCGAAGCCGTTGCGTGATGGCCTTTGCTGCAGGACGCAGAACGGCCACTTCGCTCCTCTTCTGGCGTTCCTCATGGTAACACGATGGCTGCACCCTCTGCGCAGCCGGGCGGGCGATCGCGGTGGTCCTCCCCGCCGCCCCGCGCAGCGCGCGCGCGCCGCCCCTCTCGCGCGGCCTTCAGGGGCAACGCTTGGGGGCAAAGACTCGGGGGAGAACGCTTCGCGCCCCAATTGCCCATGGATCGCCGATAGGGTCCCGCCCAAGAGCGTGCGGTGTCGCTGACGGGCGCCCAGCGCCGATCTTTACAGTGGGGGCGTATCTTCGATTCCAAGTCATCGGTTCCTGAGGCAGCCCACCCCGTCGTTCCCTATCAGGAGGTTGCAGACGTTCTGCTGACCGGGCGCGCTGACCCCGTGGCACTGCCGCCTTGCTGGATCACCTCAAGCATGCACTTTCCGATGATTGGCCGAGTCCCGAATCCGGGGCCGCTACAGGTGCAGCCTTGGGCACTGCTGAGGTCCGTCGCGATCCATTCCCCTCATCTTTCGTCCACCTCCTCACAACACTGCGCTTGAAAACATTGCTCGATGATGTGCCGTGACGGAAAATAGGCACATACCTGTAGGTCGTTGAAAGTAGGCTTTCCTGGATGCCCAAGTCTCATGAGGGAAAGAAGCACACAGACACAATTTGTCGTCGACTCCCAGGAAAATATGGGAACATATGGGAAGTGGTGGGGAAAACAACAAAAAACAGGACATATGGGAACATACGGGGACTCCTTTTATTTGTGTGTATTCGTTGGTGTGGCCCGGGCCCCTTCACAAGTCCACATCTACTTCAGTTGGTCATCCTACCTCAGGGGTCGAGCGGTGGTCCCTCTTCCCACCTCTCGGGGGGGCGGGCGGAAGTCCAGTCTCTTTCCAACGCATTCCTGCGTCGTGTTTCTCAGGGGGGGGGGGGGGGGGGGGGAAAAACACACAGACACAACGAATCGTCGATTCCCAGAAAATATGGAAGAATATGGGAAAATGGGTGGAAGACAACAACTCAGAAAATGTGGGAGAATATGGGGAATCCTGTTATTTGTGTGTATTTATTTGTGTGTCCCAGGGCCCCTTCGTGTTTCTCCCCACTTCTTCCGACCGACGGGTACGCATCGTTTCCCCTGACAGTGCTCAGTTCTTCGACGTCTCCGATTCGGGCTCCGATGTGTCAACGGAGTTCTCCCGATTTCCGCCGACTCGACTCCTCCTGACTTGGCTGCCGATCTCCGCCGATCCGATTCATGTCGTCGAAGATGACAAACCATTGCGTAAACAGAAAGTTTAGGCGCTCCGCGCGGATTTCTTGTACCCGCTGCCGGGTTCCACCTGCGGCGCCTACGGCGCCGCCCCTGGCGCGCTCCGCGCGCCAGGGAGGGCGGTCCAGCGCAGATCCAAGAAATCCGCGCGGAGCGCCCAAAGTTTAGGTGAATGCCGTTCTTTCGATTTCTATTTCGGTCACCGATCCGGCTTATTGATTCGATTCTGGCAGCGCTCCCCCTCCTCAGGCCTCCTGGGGAAACTGACTGGGGAAACCGACAGGTACCGATACTGCAACTCCCCACACCTCTCCTGGGGTGCGTTCTGACCAGGATTTCGAAGGGAATCTGGCGGTGGCGACGAGGGCCGCCCAGGAGGTCCCAAAAGGGGGAAACAAGGGAATGGTAGCGGTATGGGTACACTCCGGTCGTTGAAAGTATGTATTTTTGGATTCCCAGATCCTACTCTACTTCAAGCGCCTTCCTACCTCAAGAGTTGACATACTTTTGCTGTGTTTTGTGATTCTCTGGGAGGGCCTGGACCCAATCCTCTTTATCCGCCTTCCGATTTCACGTTTTGGCCTACTTCTCCCGACCGACGTGTACTCGGCGTCACCCCAAAATACTTATACCATATGTGCGTCGCCCCTCCAGGGGCGACGCGCGCACCGAGAAATCTTATAGTATATGCGTCGTGGCGGGCGCTTTCTGCCGTCACCGCTCCAGCAACGATACACTACAAGATGGGTGTACCACATGTTCGGGTCGGACGCGCGCCTCCGAGGAGGACATATGGTATTAGCATGTCTCTGTGCGTCCCATGTACCTCCTCTGACCTCCGCGCCTCTCGCGGAGCGCCACCTCGAAGGCCCAGGAGGGCCCTCGGAGGCCACCTCGAAGGCCCAGGAGGGTCACCTCGAAGGCCCTCGGAGGCAACCTCGAAGGCCCAGGAGGGCCCTCGAAGGCCACCTCTAAGGCCCAGGAGGGCCCTCGGAGGCCACCCCGAAGGCCCAGGAGGGCCACCTCGAAGGCCCTCGGAGGGCCCTCGAAGGCCCAGGAGGGCCCTCGGAGGGCCCTCCGCGAAGGCCCTCGGAGGGCCCTTCGCGAAGGCCCCTGGAGGGCCCTCGGCGGCCCTGGGCGCCCGGCCGTCGAAGGCCCCTTGGAGGGGCCCTGCCGCGCGCGGCGCCCGCAGCGGCGCACCTCGCGGCGCGCCTCCCCGGGCGCCTCGCCTCCGAGGTCTCGCCCTCCCGTGGGGAGCCACGCCCAGCTATCGTCTCGGCACGCGCAGGGCCCCTTCCTCCTCCTCCTCCTCCTCCTCCTCCTCCTCTCCTCCTCCTTCCTCCTCCTCCTCCCTCCTCCCTTCCTCCTTCCTCCTTCCCCTCCTCCTTCCCCCTCCTCCTCTCCTCCTCCTCCTCCCTCCTCCTCCTCCTCCCTCTCCTCCTCATCCTCCCCCTCCCCCTCCTCTCCCTCCCTCCATCCTCCTTCCCCTCCTCCTCCTCCTCCTCTCCTCCTCTCCTCCTCCTCCTCCTCCTCCTCCTCCTCCTCCTCCTCCTCGCCCGCACCTCGCGGCGCGCTTCCCGGGCGCTCGCCTCGAGGTCTCGCCCTTCATGGGGAGCCACGCCCAGCTATCGTCTCGGCACGCGCAGGGCCCGCTTCCCTGAGAAGCAACGCATCGAAAAGAGCAAACGCCGACCCCAAAAGAGAGTCCGGGGACGAGCGTTCGATTCTTCGACTATGCTTGTCGGGCCAGACGAACGGGGGGGATTGGAAAGGGGGGGTTACGAAATTTGCTACATGCAGCTGGTTTTGGCCCCACCGAGGAGCCCATTCCTCGATACATGGTCGCCTCCGGCGCCGGGAGGCGCCGGGAAAATCAGCTGCGTGAGCTGATTCTCACCCCCCCCTTTGCTATCCCCCCCTTTCGCCCGACCCGAGCTTGGCGGTCGCAGATGAAGCTGCTCAGCGCCATGCTGCGGCGGCCGAGCGAGCCAGCGGCAGCACGTCTGGAGGAGCATCCTGCAGCGGCTGCTCGTGAAGCACGGTGCCTGGCGTCGTGAGGTTTTCCGCTTTTTTCGGCCTCCTACTAAACCCTCCACCTCCTCCTCCTCCTCCTCCTCCTCCTCCCTCCTCCTCCTCCTGCTCCTTCTCCTCCTCCTCCTTCTCCTCCTCCTCCTCCTCCTCGTCCTCCTCCTCCTCCTCCTCCTCTTCCTCCCCCTCCTCCTCCTCCGCCGGGACCGTCAAAAGACGACCCAGGATGAAGAGCCGGCCCTGGGGAAAAGGGTCGGGACTGCCGGGGACCTCGCAGCGACAAAAATCACGACCTCGGATCTCTGGGTTCGATTCCTCCGATTGGATTCGAGTCGAGTTCGATGGCTTCCGATTCTGGTTCACTTCGGCTTCGGATGCCGATTTGGCTTCCGTTGTCTCCATGGATGGAGGCCTACGAACTTGCCGGTTTCCGCTGGTTCGACTTTTCCAGACTCGGCTGCCTATTTCTTCCAATCCGATGTATTTCGATTACCGATCAGACTTATCGATTCGACTTTGGGCTTTCCTGACGCGGGGGTCGGCTACGCGAGTTCGGCCGCGCGCCGCCGTCCAGATTTCGGAGGAGGATTTTGTACCGTTACAGAGCGGCGTGAGGCCCCAGACCGCGATGTTCCGTAAGCTCCTGGGCGGGATGGGGCTAGCAGGCCCTTATTCGACGAGGAGTCAGCGATGGGGGGGTCGGTGCACACCCTCCTGGGCCCATCCTCCCCCATCGTTGCGCCTCTCAAGTTCGGTAGCAAATCATCGGAGCCTCGTGTACCCTCGTGATTCTGTCTTTGGTGTCGACTCACGTCGATTAGCGTCTGGAAGTCGATGAGATGGCGCCGATTTAGCGTCGGCTAGCGTCGATTATCGTCGATCTAGCGTCGATTAGCGTAGAGTTTGAGTCTATTAGCGTCGACTCGCAAGAGCCAACAAGATGGTATGGGAGGCTCCCATGATGAGTTTCCCCTTTTTGGGCCTCCTGGCAGGCCCTCGTCGCCACGGCTGGATTCGCCTCGAAGTTCTGGTCAGAACGGACCCCAGGAGAGGTCCAGGAAATAGCGGTATCGGTAGCTTCTTGCTTTCCCCATGATCGCACGTCGAAGGAAGAACGACGCAACGATAAACTCTCGAACGATATTATCACGCACGCACACACGCACACACACACACACATTCGACAGTCTCGGATAGGTCTGATGCGCTTTCGAAGGTGGAAAGTCATAAACCCACGAGCGCGCACACTTGTGGAGAATTGTCGAACGGCACGGTCAAAAGCTCTCGAAGCGCCCCTGAAGGAAGGACGACTGAGCCACAAGCTATCGCAGATCTGCGCAGATCTCCAGGATCGGCGCTGGACCCCCTCCCTGGCGCGCGGAGCGCGCCAGGGGCGGCGCCGGAGGCGCCGCCAGGGGTCAGGGGCTACGACAGGGGAGAATGGGCTCAGGGGGGGATGCATCGACCTGGAATCGGCGATACGTCACCGATAGATCGGCGATGGGCCCCCGACAGCGGTTTTCCGCACGCTCCTGGGCGGGATGGGGCTAGCAGACCCCTAGTCGACGAGGAGTCGGCGATGGGGGGGGGTCGATGCCTCACCCCCTGGGCCCATCCACCCCTATCGTCGCGCCTCTGAAGGTCCAGGCCTCCCACCTGCGGCCGGAGGATCGCGCCGCATCGCCGATGCAGCGCTGCTGCGGCCCGATGTGCAGCCCGGGTTGCCTCACGCCGGCGTCGCCGATGCCTCGCCGACGTCGACGAGGCGTCGCCGGTGCCTCGCCGATGCCTCGCCGATGCCTCGCCGAGGTCTTCGGCGACGCGGCGCGAGCCTCCGACCCCAGCGAGGAGGCTCCCCGGAGGGGGATCCAGGGCCGACCCACAAGAGGTCCGCGCGGACCTGCCAGAGCCGGTGCTCGGGCAGCTCGCTTGGCATCGCTCGGGCGTGTGCATTGTTCCTTCGGCGAGGACCATCGAGGAGCATCCTTGATCATTTGGCGAAAAAACCACGCACGAAACCGAAAAAAACATAGGGAATGGACGTCCGAGCGATGGCCAGCTCGGTCCCCCGCGGCGCCCAGGTTCTTCGGCAGCGCGAAGAGCGGCCCGGCGCCCGCGCCTGTCGATGAGCCTCAGGCTCGGGGCGGAGGGGGGGGAGCCAAGCGTTAAGTCGGGCCTGTGCCCCTACAGGGGGAGTTCCGACGAAAAATTGAAAATACCTCAGAGATAGTCAAAAAATAGTCCAAAAATAGTCTGGGACTATTTTTTGAGTATTTGTTTACCCTTTGGGGGCATTTTTTGTGTATTTTTATTTTTCGTCGAAAATCCCCCTGTAGGGGGACGCGCCCGACTTAAGCCAAGCGCCTGCAAGCGGGGCGTTGGCGAACGGGCCGGGAGCCAAGGGTGCTTTTTTCAGCGGCGTTTTTTCAAACAAGTGCTCTGCCGCGCACGAGTGCGAGGTACCCCCCTCCCCAGACCCATGAGGATGCATCGGCCCTGCTGTCGTCATGATTTTTGTCACGCACCAGTGCGCCATGGGTGCCCTGTCACCTCGTTCTCGCTTGCAGAGGCCCCTTCGCTACCCTAACGCCTAACGCCCCGTTTGCAGGGGCTTTGGGGGGACGGGGGGAGCGAGAGAAGGGCGCGCGTGCGCACGGTTCGCCGACGAGCAGTGAGAAGGAGAGGGCCTGCTCAGAAGGCGGCGGGGCTTCTCAGAAGCCCTCGCGCCTGCTGAGGAGTGCTCTGTGCCTTCGAGGAAGGCTCAAGAACCTTCTCGGGAGGCTGGGGGACTCCCGAGCCTTCTGGGGAGGCCCGCCCCTTCTCACTTCCCCCTTGGGCTCGGCGCCGAACGGTAGGTTCGCCTCGTGTCGACCAGCGACGGCCCCGCCGCCGGCGTTCAACGTTGAACGCCTCCGGCGACCCAGAATCGGTCGAATTTAAACGATCTGACGTTGCGAGAAAGGCCGATAGTTCGAGGTGGAGCGATCCCCGCGGCGTCAGGAACCAACGCCGAAGTCGGCACGACACGAAGCTGTCGTATCACGTCCTCACGATGCCCAGATGGAAGGCTCATGGTGGATACAGAGGCTCATGATTCTGGGTGCGAGGGGCGCAACCTGGCCGTTCGGGCAATCCATTCAACATACACGCCGGTCGTTGAAATGATGTAGTTCTGGACTCTCAGATCCCAACCTAGTGCAGGCGCCTCCCTACTTTAAGAGTCGAGCGGTTTTCCCTCTTCTTCCCTCTTCAGGGGGCGGGCTAAAACCCAATCTACACTCGGAACGAATAGTTAGCACAATGACGATGCCGTGTGCTGTTTGCGAGAATCTTGCTCGAAGTTGCCGGCAACATTCTGCTCGAACCAAGACGCCGATCACGGGGTGCTGTTTGAAATTGACGCGTCAAATGTGCGCACGTTTTTGAGAATCTAGACTCCTGGTCGAGCCGCCTGAGCTTTCTCTGGCGCGCTGCTGCTCTGCGAGCTTGCCAGGGATCCTGGCCCCGGGGGGCGGAGACAGCGCAGTTCTCTGGGTCTCTTGCTCCCGTGTGGCGCAGGAGCTGTCGCAACGTGCCAGAAAGTTCCGACGTCTCGACTCGTCTCCGTTTCTGTTCCAACCGTGCGCGCACCTGACACGTCAAACTCTGATCTGTAAGTTCGAGACGTGCCCCGGTGTCGGCGTCTTGGTCCGAACAAGCGTCGCCGCGAAGCTTCCTGGCCAATCCTCGCAGGCAGCACGGGCGAGATCGTCCGTCATGCAAAATGTTGTCCTGCTCCTGGGGGCGCGGGCACGACGTATCGTGCGAGGCGTCGTGGCCCGGGGCGCGCGTGCATCCCGCACACTTTCAGGGGGGCCATGGCCCCGGGAGCGCGGACGCAGCGCGATTTTGCGAGGGATCGTGAGCCTTTTGCTTCCTTCAGGTGGGGCAGGCGAACGCCAGCCAGAGGAGGGGGGGGGGAGGGGGGGGGACCAAGCCAGGTTTAAGTCGGGCCTGTCCCTGTACAGGGGGGAATGTTCAAAAATAGTAATCTGGGGACTATTGTTTGAACTTTTGGTAATCTATTGAGCATTTTTTCTATTTTCTGTCGTCCAACATCCCCCTGTAGGGAGACGCGCCCGACGTAAAGCTAGGTGCGCTAGCGTCACATCTTGCGTCCTACCCCTCCTTCTCGTCCCTTACCATGGCGTAGATCGATCTATTCGCACTGTCGGATGTCGAGCAGGGCAGTGATCCCAAGAGGGTGCGCGATGGATGGCAAAGCATTGCGTAGAAGAGCACGGCAGAGCATAGCATGTCAAAGCGTGGCGTGGCATTGCGTAGAGAAGCATGGCATCACAAAGCATAGCATCGCAAAGCATGGCATCGCACAGCGGTGCACAACACAGCATTCGCATTGCATGCCGTGGCATGGTACCAGATGACTTGGATGGTAAGTGGCCCGTCTACGAGAGGACAGGGCCTGTTCCGAATACCGGCTCCATGTCCTCCGCAACCGTCCCTGCCCGACGTGGACGTTTTCGAATGCCAAGTGCCATCTGGAGGCGCGTGAACGAGGCCAGCGTTGCAGCGGGAGTACGAGTTGGATTGATCGGAGCGCGGAAATGAGGGTGGCGCTGCAGCGGGAGCACAATTTGGAAGAACCAGAATCGACCGGATTGAGAAAGGGGATTGAAAAACACACAGGAGCAAGAAAACAAATAATGACATCCTGAGTGTAAAAAAAAGCAATACGCCGAGAGGACGAAGCACTCTCTGGACAGAGTCAGGGGAGAGATGTAGTATGCAGATTGTGTAATTTTAGACTAGATTGCACACCCAGCACACCCAGCACACCCAGCCAGTGGAGATAGCACACCCAGCCCAGCACACCGCCTTCGTCTTGGTTCCTGGTGGGGCGAGGAGGGCCAGCAGCTGAAGACGATCAAGGCCCGCCTCCTCCTCCCTCCTCCTCCCTCTGGGTAGTCGTGACCGATGCCGTGGAGGAGTGGGACTTGCGCCGCGCTGAGCGCTTAGCATGAGTTATTAGCGCGCCCAGGGTTGGACCCTTCCAGCCTTTACAAGACAGTAGTTAGAACGCGCTTGTCAAGAAGTAGTTTGCACAGGTGGCGCCGGAATCCTTCTGCAACGCCCAAAAAGGCAAGATTTCAAGCCTGAGGTCTGGCGCGGAGTGGTCAGCACCGCGTGCTGGCTGTCCTAATTTCTCTCCAAGAAAGCGTGCGAACTACTCGTTCCCGCGTATGCTTCCAACGCCTTCCTACTTCATGTTTCTGCCCACTTCTTTCGACTGGCGGGTGCGCCCTCACTCCCGTCCCAGGCATCGGTCACCGGACTTCTCGCGACACCCCTCCGAGGACCACCCCCCTCTGAAGGGGGGGTAATTAGGCTCACGGAGGTCCAGGGTGCATACTTAGGGTCCTCCCGAGGGAAGCGTCTTCACAACAGCATGACGGAGGCGTTTCGTCGTTCTCTCGTCGTCGGTGGCCTTCACTTAAGCGATCACAGACGTGGTTGGAGCCATGCCACGAGCGACGGACCCATGTCCATGCCCGCGCGGTCTGGATTCCAACTCGCGTTCCCGTGGATGAGCGATCCCACGGTTACGTCCAGAAAGGAGCGTCCGCGAAGAGCTGCCCCGTGTCCGTGGGGTCGCGGCTGAGGAGCCCGGACCGCGAGCCCGGGGACATGGATATCCTCCGCCCCCGGTGATTGTTGAGTCTGCAGGGGGAGGGCCAGAAGCGATCGCCCTTTGCGGCAGGTTGTCGATGTGAAGAAGGAGCCTCAGGCGCGCGCCGCCGGGGCTCGGCCGGCTCCTGAACGAATGAGTTGGTGAATTTAGTGCCAGGGAAGGTCGGAGGTGGACAGATCTTCTATTCTGACATGTTGATTAGCGAATTGGCCGTTTTCGGTCTGCGAGAGGGCGTCGCGGCCGTCATTTTTGCGGGTCCAGGTCCGTCGGTTTCGGTCCCAGGCCGTTTTCACTAAAGGGAGGTTTTTTTCAAGCGAGGTTTGTCCACCGCCAAAACTTGAATCAGGGCTCGACCTAAACGCTGGTTTTGGCGATTTCGTGGGCCGTTTTCGTTTCGGCTTCGTTCTGCTGTAGAGGCGGATTCGAGACAAAAGCGAGGGAAAACGAAAACAAAACGAAAACGAAAAACACCGTTTAGGTTTCGCCCTGACTTGAATCAGCCACCGTGGACTGGCGGACAGGCAGACAACCCTCGGGCGCCTCCTCTGACTGCCTGGGCGGCTCCTCGGCTGCCCAGTTTCAGGAGGGGGAAACACACACAGACACAGTTCATCGTCGACTCCCCTGAAAATATGGGAAAATATGGGCGGTGGGGGGGCGGAAGACAAAAACCCAGAAAATATAGGAAAAGATTGGGAATCCTTTTATTTGTGTGTATTTAATTGTGTGTCCCAGGGCCCCTTCACAGTTCTCTGGCCGCCCGCTTGTCTGATTCCTCGAGTGCCGCACGGCCTCCGTCGCGCCGGCGACAGACGTGCAGGGCTGTGCCCTCTTCGGACGATCTCCGCTGGAGGTTCCTTGAGCCATCTTTATCAGTTGTCATGCCTGCTGTGATGATGCCAGCAACGACGACTATGATGGCCACTGTCGTGAAGGCAGCGCCGACATGCGATGGCGAGATGCAGCGCCGTTTTGCTAGAGCACGGCCGGTCGGAGGCGTCGAGGCTGGATACCTTGCGCCCTACGGTGGAGACCCATGCCAAGAAACACCCTGCTTGCCTCCAAATGCCCTGGGTTTCTTGGGTTTGAGAGCTTCACATTCCCATACCAAAAATCAATCGACGTCCTGGGATCTTAAGGTTGGGATGATTGTGGCAGGTTTCCTGTGGCTGGTTGCTGTTCTCATGGGCTGACGGCAGCAATGTGTCAAAGTTGTGTTGCGCAAATGCACTCAATTTACTAAACTGGTTGGGCCGTACGCGCTATCGTAGGACTCATCCCGAGACGGCGATGGTGGAGATACCGATGTTGGTGAATACATTTGAGTGGCCCTTGTCACCCTTGTCATTGTAATTGATGTTGATAAGTCTGGCGATGACGTTGGCGCACGTAGCATTGGATCAGCATTGGTGGCTGTGCGCATGGTCCACTCAAACACAGGTGTCCGACTGGCCTGCTTTTCTGCGCATGCTATTGTTAACGGCTAGGGGGCGCGCATGGTACATCTGGTGCACAGATGAAACAAGTATGAAACACGTTGTAGTGCATATGTCGCCGTGCCGTTTGTTCCGACGCACCGCCTTGCGTCTTAGGAAGGGCGCCGCGGCCACCAGGGTAAACGCTGCCTCGTGCGCAAGGCTTGCTGTGTGTTTGCCGTGGTGCCGTCTTCGTTGACTTGGGCGCGCTTAGATCAAACGGAATGGCGACATATGGCAGTGAGGGCAAGGTGGCGCGAACGTGCAATATTGGGCGATCCCAGACTTGACATGCATAATCTGTGCATCACCTCACACTCGCCAGACTCAATAGCGACGGGTCAGGCCACATACGTGCGCATGGAATAGAGATTTCGTTTTGCTGCCTTCACATGCGCACACGTTCAGTGCGCCCTGAGGGCAGCGTGCTTATGTCCCGCGCAGCATGCTCGCGTGTCAGCGTGGCCAGCCCAGGTATGTTCATGATAAACGCTTGGTTTGTCCCACCAGCCCGCACAGCAACCATAGTCTCGGTCTTGCTTACCTGTTCCGTGATATAGCATGCGCTGGCCTTGCCTGGTGTGGCCGCGAGCGGTCGAATGTGTTGCAGTCGGGCGTTGTGCAATGTGTGCCGATCTGACTCTGCTAGCGTATAACATGACGGAATTTTGTTACCTGAGTGCCGTCTCAGCGCAGTGAACTGAGTAGAAGAGGTCACAGGCCTGCTCTGCAAAAGGCTGCTGCCTCGCCTGCGCCATGAGCGATTGGCTCGGCACCACCTCCAGGCGAGCCGAGACAAAACCAGCGCTCTTGTGACCGCGCTCTGCCTGCACGCTCTCCCCCCTCCGCAAAACCACCCCACACATCCGCTCATACGGTGCTCCAGTCTGCGTCCCACGAGGCCCCGGTCGCTTTCCTGGGGCAGTGTTTCGTCTTGGGCCCTTTTTTGATGGGCCCCATGTGGCCCTGATGCCCTCAACCTGCACAGTGAGGATGAGCGACTTTCCAGGTTTACCCTTCCCCCTGGCCCAGCCTTGGCCGCGTTCGCGGGCCGCGCCCCGCTCGCAAAGTGGCCTTCCAAGGCATTGGCATCCTTGTCGTGTGTCCTCATCACACGAGAGGGCTGTAGCCTCTGCAGGTGCAGAGACGAGCAGCAGCAGAAGCGACGGCGGGAGGATTAGGAGGAGGGGGGAATGAGGGGGGCAGGAGGGGAGGATCAGGAGGAGGAGGAGGAGGAGGAGGAGGAGGAGGACAACCGCCCAGGCTGAAACGAACACTCCGCCGCAGCTTGGGGCCTCCCCCGCGCCCCTCCCGCCCCTCGCTCGCGTCCGCCGGCGCGGCTCCTCCGGAGGCCCCGGCGGCCACGCCGCGCAAGGCCGCGCTGACCACGCCACGGAAGCCCCGCAGGGCGGCTGGCACAGGCCCGCCGCCTCACGCCTCGCCCAAGAGGGTCGGAGTCGGCTGCGGATAGACCTCCTGCCCTGGCACGTCGAGTAAGGAGTTGGCGGTTTTCGGCCCGCGAGAGGGCGTCGCGGGCCGCCACTTTTGCGGGTCCAGGTCCGCCGGTTTCGGTCCCTGGCCGTTTTCACCAAGGGGAGGTTTGTGGAAGGGAGGTTTGTCCACCGCCGACGGAGGATGAGCAGGTGCTTGCCTGTGCCGCTGCCCTCGCCTCGCTGCCCCCTCGTTCGGCCTCCCTGGGGGGGCCCTCGTCTCCACCGCCGGGTTCGCCTCGGGGTCCTGATCAGAGCGCGCCCCGGGAGGGGTCCAGGGAGTAGCGGCAGTAGTACCTATTTGGGTTCCCCAAGAGACAGGAAGCAGAATCGGACAGCCCCAACTGTTTTTGCTTCGAGCTTGGAGGGCAAAGTCTACCTGCTTCTATGAGGCCGATGTCTGGGGCCTGTGCCAAACACCGTTTTCACTTTCTAGGCGCAAGAGTCTAGAGACACATGGGATGCCGCTACACGTGTAGATGCATTTGTGGTGACTATGTTGTCTATAGACGACGCGGCCGTTGCGCGAAGACAAAGAAAAGCTATAAACATGAATGTTTGGCGCTCCACGTGGATTTCTTGGATCTGCGCTGGGGCCCCTCTGGCGGCGCCTCCGGCGCCGCCCCTGGCGCGCTTCGCGCGCCAGGGAGAGGGGTCCGGCGCGGATCCAAGAGATCCGCGCGGAGCGCCAACAGTTTATGTCTATGCCGTTGTTTCTTCTTCTAGTTGCGTTCGAGGCGCTACAAGGTCGGAGCAAGGGTAGATCCACCTACGGTATGCTCCCGTCCTAAAGCAGGTCCCACACGGTGCTCCAGTTTCGAGCAATCCCCCCACGAGAGCACGCGAGGTGGGATCCCCAGGGAACACCATAGGCCCCCCTGGGGCCTGACTGCCGCGGCACGCAGCTGTGGAGGAGGAGGAGGAGGAGGAGGAGGAGGAGGAGGAGGAGGAGGAGGAGGAGAGCTCGATGCCTGGCTTCGAGCTTGTCCTGGCCCCGATCTCAAGGACTTCCGCAGTCCCTGAGGGCGCATCGTTGAGATAGAGTCGTCTCTTTGGGCTTGACAGCCTGAGGGATAGAGACGTTCTCGAGGGTGGTTTCACCAGCCTTGTGCTTCTCCCTATCCCTCGGATTAACATGCCCGAAGGTGATGATAATCCTAGGGGCTGTGCCATAAGAAACTGAGGGAATATGTGAGGTGATGTTGGCATCGAGATAAGGAGACCCAAACCATAGAGATAGGAATCTATGTGTTAGGCTGGGCATGATGCCCCCTATCACCCCTGCTCGGATATCCGAAGAGGTAGGTGACCGAGCAACATCGGTGACCGAACATGTTCTGGAAGTTGTGACCAAAAAGACGTAGCGTGACCAACATCGTGACCGACATGGAACCAAGGCTTCGTTGTCGACCCAAGAGAATCGGTCACACTTCCGGGCCCAAGTTCTGCCATCACACCTTCGATTCAGACGAGGCTGCGTGATCTTTGCTCTGGTTCAGGCCTCCGCCTGGGCCGCCCCCCGGACTTCCGGCAGACCTGACCGCCGCGGCCCGCTCAGCGGGGGCCCGGCGGGGGAGCTGCGCGCGGCATGCCGACGCAGCTGCTCGTGTCGGTCACCCCGGCCATCCGCGCCTTCCTGCTGGGCTGCGGCGAGGAGGGAGCGGCGGAGCGCGCGGAGCACGACGCGGTGGACATGGACGAGCTCTACAGGATCCGAGTGGGCAACCGAGTGCAGAACTGGTGCACACGCCAAGCATCGGGGGCGGAAAAGAGGGGGGTGATGACTGGGGGGGGGTGGATATCATGGCGTGGGCCATGATATTTCCCCAGATTTCATGGCGCCTCTTCTTCTTTCATTACGTCCCTGGCCCCCCCGCTGGGCCGCGCACATGCCGCCGGTCATGATTTGCACCCCCCCTCTTGGACACCCCCCTCTTGGCCGCTCCCGAAAACAGAAGTTCTTCGTCGAATGTGCAACAAGTGCGCATCATGGTCGTCTTGGCGTCGCTCGGACGTGTGCATGTTTCCTCCCGCGAGGACTCTGGAGGAGCATCCTTCATCATTTGGCGAAGAAGCCACGCGAGAGACCGAAAAGAGCACAGGGGATGGACGTCCGAGCGAGGGCCAGGAACTGATGCACGCGCCAAACATGAGTTCCTCGTCGAGGGTGCAGCAGATGCGCGTCCTGTTCGCCGATCCACGACCCTCAACTGCGCATGTGCCGTAGGTTCGACGAACGAACTTGGCTGCCCCGATACGCCCGTTTTGATACGCAAAACGTCCCGTGTTCAAGACGTCCGTGTCAATACGTTGCGTGTTGGCTCCACGTATTGGGCCACGTTTTGGCGAATGTATCGCGTCGGGCATACGTTTTCAGCCTACGTGTTGAGCTCCGTATCCATACGCTACGTGTTGCGTGTTGCGCATCGTGGCAGCTAAGCGAACGAACGAACTACGGCGTAACCCAACTCTGTAGCCGATGCCCTGCTCGGAGGATCGCGGGCAGCATGCGGGGCCGCCAGGGCGTGGAGGCCCCCCGGATCCACGAGCTGCTGGAGGGGGCGGAGGTGCTGGAGAGGCGGCGGGCGCCGGAGCCGGAGCCGCTGTCCGAGGTGCAGCGGATGCGGCAGGACCATCGGTCGTCTGAGGGGCCCCCCCCGGGCCCGAGTACTCCAAATGCCTTCTTGATCGACCCCCCCCCCAAAAAAAACCAGACCCCCCTCCAGATGCGACCTGATATTCGGGACCCCCCTATTCGACGGGGAGCCTCAATAAACCGCACCCCCGAAGTTCCAATCCAAGGAAAGCGCCCTAATAAACTGGACCCCCCCCCCAGGTACCAAAAAGGTGCCTAAAAAACCGGACCGGGGGGACGATTAAAAAAGGATTTGGAGTAACACCACGAAGACGCCCTGCTCAACTCAGGCCCACGCCTCTGCACGAGGGGTGATGCGTCTAGGTGGTACGGTTCGAGGCATCTGGGGGGAGAGAGACAAAGAACCTATAGCCTTGACGTGTTGTGCCTCTTGACCCGAGTCTGCTCCCGAAGGGTTAGGGGACACACACTGGTTGCGAACCACAGGAGTCCCAGGAGCGGGCGTACCAGCTTGAAGAACAGAAACGAGCATGAGCAGACATTTTCGGAGGTACTGCGGATTTCCTGGATCGGCGCTGGAGCTCCCCCTGTGGCGGCGCCTCCAGCGATGCCCCTGGTCCGCGCGCCATGCAGGGGGGCCCAGCGCCGATCCGAGATATCTGCGCTGGCCTCCGAAGGTTTACTTGGCATCGCTCGGACGTGTGCATTTTTCCTTCGGCGAGGACCACCGAGGACAATCCTTGATCATTCGGCGAAAAACCACGCACGAAACCGAACAACACACACAGGGAATGGACGTCCGAGCGATGCCCAGTTTACGCTTGTGCTGTTTGTGGTTCTTCTGCGAGCGCATGGTCTCGGGCGTGTCCTTCGCCCGGGGGAAGGCCAGCTCCACGCAGAGCGGCGACCTGTCGTCGGGCTTCAAGTTTGCAACGAACTTCGCCACGCAGGTCATCGTAGCTTTCATCGGAGCCTTCGCGCTCGGCTATTAGCCACTCGCCTGCGGCGAGTCCCGCCACCGTGCCGGCCCAGCACCCTGGGCGGCGATGGTGCGAGGGGCGCACAGGAGGCCATGATGTGTGACACCTCGCGCCCCGAGGCCTGGCAGAGCCGTGGTATGTGACACTTTTCCGCGTCGTTTTCCGGGGGTTCTCTTCTCGTGTTCCAAGGGCGCCCTGGAGAGCGCGAAGTGATTCGCGCTTCGCGGTTCGGCTCCGATTCCTCCTCTTCCTCCTCTTCTCCCCTGGGAGGCGGCGCGAGAGCGCGAAGTTATTCGCACTTCGCACTTCACGCAGCGCGAAGCGCGAAGCTGGGAGCCCTTGTGTTCGTCGTCTTCCTCCCTTTCTTCCGTCCCTTCAAGGGCTTCTGGACCACTTGCGGCTGCCTCTGGAGCCTTAGTGGGCCATCTTGGGGCCATCTTTGCCGTATGGGAGGCCTCTTGCGGCCGTCGTGGGGCCGTATTCGGGCCATTTTGGGCCAGATGTGGCTCTCTAAGGCAGTGTTGGGTTCATGATGAGGCCCTGTTGGGCCAAGTTGAGGATCTCTTGGGGCCAGCCTGGGCCAATAGGAGTCTTGGGACCCATCTGGGCTCTTGGACTGTGTTGGGGCCGTTTTGGAACATGGTTGTGCCATGTTGGAGCCCTCTTGGGCCGTCCTAAGGCCATCTTGGACGCCTCTAGGGCTTGGTGGGCCCTGGAGACGACAGGGCCGTGTTTTACCGGTTCCATTTTGCTGTTTTTTTGCCGGTTCCGACGGCGTTGTTGCACGGGTTCCGTTTTATAACAGGTTCCGTTTTGGTTGGTTTTGGCTCCGGTCCTAATCCTAGAGTTGTTTGTTTGCAGTTTCTTGTCGCTGTTTTTTTTTTGCCGTTTCCATTTTCACGAGTTTTTTTTTATTCGGAAACGGGAAAAAAACGGCCTTGCCGTTCCTGGGGCCCACTCAGATCTGGGGTCGTCTGGAGCTGCAGGCAACCCAAAAAAGTGAAATTCTAGAAGTGGGAACAGATGAGGCGTTTAAGAAAGGGCCTCGGCTTCGAGGGTCGAAGGAGTTGTCATCTCTTCCTCGGCGGAAGGTGGCGGAAGGTCGTCGGAAGCTGGGGGAAGTATAACTAGGCCGCCTCCGCCGGGGGAAGCCGGCGGAAGTACAAGATGCGCCCCCAAGAGATGGACACGTTTTTGGCTTCAGGGTTTCCAGCACCCGCCATATGTGATTTTGGTTTCTTCGGGCCCTGCTGGGGGTCTTTTTGCGGCCCCGTTGGGCCGTCTTGGTGGCCTCTTGGGCGGCTTTGAGGACATAATGGACGGCCTTGGGACCATCTTGGTCCGTATCGGAAGCATCTTGGGCCATCTTGGCGGCATCGGTGACCTGCATCGGCCGTCTTGGAAGCTTGGGGGCGCGGACACATAGTTTGTTTAAAAGGAGCGTGGGCTCGGGAGAACGGATCGTGGCGTCCTGGGCGCACGTCCATTGCCAGTTACGAGGGGTCGTGGCATCGGGAACCCGAACCCATCGAGTCTTACGAGGGATCGTGGCTCGAGAGGGGGGCCAGTGCAATTACCATTCCGCTTGTAGAGAGGGGGGGCCTGAGAAAGCTACAGACACCTGACGAGACAGCACTTGGCATTCGACCACGCCTCAATGTGCCAGGGGGCACTGTGGCAGATTTCGTAGAGACTTTCGTCGACGAACACAATTTTACCTTCAAGGTCCTCGCTGGAGCGGGCTGCTCTTTCTGCACACTGCTGCTGGAGACATGCCTGCTGGTGGTCCACGAACAGAAGGCGGAGATGATGCAGGCGAAGCGTGCGCTTGAGAGCGAGAGGTCCAAAAGGCGCCTTGTGCAGGAATCGGCGGTGCCGGTCGCCAAGGCGGCGAAGGCCGTGTTTCTCAGCAGCCTCGATCTGCACGCCGTTCGGGCATGTTCGGGCACTCGTCGTGTGTCCGCGCGGAAGTGTGAGTTCATGCGCACGCACACGTGCATGGACAGGGGTGCGGTAAGCTGTGGAAGAGCACGCACGCACACGTTCTGCCACCTGGAGAGCGGCAGGCAGGCGCAGCGTGTTCGCGCCATTACACCATCGGCGGCAAGCGGCGTGGACCGCACGTGAGCGACGCAAAAAGTGGAGTCGTCTGCGCCGACATTGGCGCGTGAGCTGCCCGCGTCAGGGCGCGCGTGAGCGCCCTCGCTTCAAGTGTGGCGTGCCGCGCGGGCGGCCTGCGTAGGCCACCGCGTAAGGTCGCTACGCCGTCTTGCGCAATACCCTTCTTGGATCGTCGCTCACCTGTTGTGCTCAGGTGGCGGCTCAGCGGCCCTATGCAGGCACGTGCTCGAGACTCGTGCCGCAGGCGCCGATTCGTCGCGCGCTGGCCTTCGAGGACGACCCAGCGCGTCGGGGCTGCAGGCATCGGCCCCGAGGATCTGGTCTGGCAGGCTTTGAGGTCTCGGCCCGGGTCGTTCCAGCCCCGTGCGTTCCGGGAGCTTTGCAACGGGGTCAGTCAGAGCGCCGGATGTTTCAGGATCCTGCAGGGCCAGGGTCGCACTGACCTGGGCTTGGGTGCATGATCCTGCAGGATTTTTCAGGAAGGCCTGACTGACCAGGGTCTGCACTGACCCTGGTCAACGAGCCCCCGAGCGTTCGGAGGGTTGCCGCGCGCCCTCCTCCACCTTCTTCTTCTTCTTCTTCACCCTCCTCTCAGGCGATGTGGCAAGGTTCGGTTCGGGTATGCATTGACCCCCATGTTCCCAGCCATCGCCGATAGGTGCCCTACCCACCCATGTGCGTGCGGACTCTCTGTCTGGAGCCCATCGCCGACCCATCGGCGGTGTATCGGGATGCATCGCCGATTCCAGCCAGATGCTTCCCCTCCTCAGCCGATCTCCTCTGACGTTCCCCTCGCCCTCGTCCCAGGGACTCGTCCCACGTTGTGCTGGTGCTGCTGCAGGCGCTGCAACCAGCAGTTCCGCCACCATCACCACGACCTGCACCACTGCCTCTGCAACTGCCACTTCCGCCACGGGTGTCGCTCCCCCGCCCCCTCCTGAACTCCACGTTCCTCCCCCCTCCCCCCTCCTCCCCCCCCTCCTTCCTCCTCCTCCCCCCCCTCCCTCCTCCTCCCCCCTCCCCCTCCTCCTCCTCCTTCCCCTCCACGTCTTCCTCCTCCTCCCCCCTCCCCTCCTCCTCCCCCTCCTCCTCCCCCCCATCAGTCGCCGTTCGGATCGCAGGAAAGGCAGGCCGACCAGCACTGATGCCAGAACCACCGATCTTCCACGCGCGGGAGCCAACCTCGCCACCCGAGAACGCAGGCAAGGGAGCGGGGGCGCCCCGGTGCTGCTCCCGTGCTGCTCCGTTCTGATTTCGCACAATTGCCGAGCTGCGCGGCGCTGCAGTCGGGGCGCTGCAGAAGGAACCCTGTTCGTTGAGGAGGGGCTCCGTGTTCCTTGCTTGTTTCATAGCTTGCCTGAGGTTTTCCTTGGGTTTTCGATGGGACATCGAATTTCAACTTATGGAAAAGAAGGGGCCTCGTTCTTTATTTAGGGTTTCTTAAGTCAACGCCCTGACTGTACTCCCACACCAAGCCCTGTGGCAGCCCGGTCGTCGCCGTCGCCGAACGATGGGACTGGCAGTGCGCCGTCCTCAACATCAGAAGCGCCGAGACTCCGGATCGAGTCGGGGACCTTCAGATCTTCAGTCGGACGCGACGCTCTCCCAGCTGAGCTATCGCGGCTGGTGTGGCAGCCCGGAGCCACGAGCGACTCGACTCGAGGGCATCGGCTGTGAATCGGATACTTTGGGACGCCGTGCGCCAGAGTCGCAGCCGCAGATGGAGCTTCCATGAACCCAGTTTGAAGAGCCTCCTCCCCAACCGTTGCAGGCGCATTCCGTCTTCGGACTCCCGATTCCGATTCGTTTCGATTCGAGATTCCGATTTGGATTCCGAAGTCCCCATGAAGGCCTTATTAGCTTGCTGGTTTCCGCCGATTCGACTTCTCCCGACTTGGCTACCGATTTCCGCCGATCCGATGTATTCCGATCGCCGATCCGGCTCATTCGATCTTGGGCTCTCTTGTCATCGGCCAGGTTTGATGAAAACGAGCGGCGGTGGATCACAAAGGCATGTGGGACGGCCACTGTCGCGTCCCACCGCTTTCTGCCCACCCAACCCTGTGCGATCTACCTCCAACCGACGGCTATCCAATGAAGGGCTATGGGATTCCCACTGAAGACGACCTGGATCGGTGACGCTTTTTTCGTCTGCTGTTTTCCAGTGTTCCACTCAAACGGGTATCCCGAAGTTGCTAATCGGATGAGGGATTGTGTGGTCAAGGAAATCGGCAAATAGGGTTGTCGCACGACAGTTGTGGTTTGGGGAGATCTCGACGCAGGCGTGGTGCTCAGCGGGGGACAGGTGATCGGGGCAGTCGACCCGAAGGTAGAAAACTAGGGCACGACAGCAGGACAGCGTTCCCACGAACTTGCGAAGCCCATTAACTGACCGTGACTATTCCTTGCCATGCCTAGGCTCATTTCGACTCCTTCGACTCGATTCGATTTCATTTCGATCGATTCGTTTCCGATTCGATTCAACGTCGGATTCCGGTTCGGATTTCAGGTCCTCCATGGACGCCTCATTAGCCTGCCGATTTCTGCGGTTTCGACTTCTTCCGTTGTGTTGCCGATTTCGGCCGAGCCGACTTCGACTGCCGGTCCGACTCATCGATTCAATGTGTGATCCCCTGTCACCCTGTAGGATCCACATTTCACAGGACGGCGGAACATGCAATCAGAGTGGGTCAAATCGCGGTTGCGGATCAGCATCCCCCTTTCTCTCGGACTTCCTATCCCACCAACGCCCCTTTCCCCCTCAGCGCCCCCCCCCCCCCATTCAATCTCCCCTAAATTCCTCCGTATGTTCACACGCACCACGCTTGTGTTGAAAGAGGAGGAGGAGGACTGCCAAGAGCGCCTCAGGCTTTCAGGGTACCTGGCCCTCGCTTTGAGGAAGCGACGGCCCCTACAGTTTACCACAACCCACTGTCCAAAGTAGTTTGCGCTCGCTGGGAAGCAGGAAGAGAAGGAGGAGGAGGAGGAGGAGAAGAAGAGGAGGAGAAGAAGAAGAGGAGGAGCGGGAACCCTCCTCACGGTCGTCTCCCATCCCCCGCCTACCCTTCTGAAACCAGCATGAGGTGCCGAGCTCACCACGGAAAAGCTCTCGCAGGGCGCAGCCGTGTCTCGCTCTCTCGCAGCACGCCGTGATACGGCCTGCACAACATCGCGGGGGGCAGCAGTGTCTGTGTACATACTGCATGTCGCCATAACTCGGATCGGTCGATACCAGCGCAACCCCTTCGTGCAGCCAAACGCTGAGATACGGACCCCTTCGGGCCGTGGCTTAGAGCCGGGTCGGGCAGCCTATTCGAAGCTGAGGTTCGCAAAAGCCTTTTCGTTCCTTCCGCTCATTTCCGCATGGTGGCGCGATTGCCGTATGTCATCACCGCTCGCGCGATGGCGTGCGTCCCCCCTACGGCAAGCAGCGTCAGCATGCTCACGGCACGGCGACCATAACTAGAAAGATGCGCATGCACAGGCGCGCGCTCTGCAAACGAGCGCCTGCTCTGGGCAAGCCCGCGTGGCCACGTTTGCTTGAGCCTCGAGGCGTATCCGCTTGCATGTAGACGCCGCACGCCCGTGCCCTTGGCATCGCTCGGACGTGTGTTTTTTTTCTCCGGCGAGGACCATCGAGGAGCATCCTTGATCATTTGGCGAAAAAAACACGCACGAAACTGAAAAAAACACAGTGGATGGACGTCCGAGCGATGGCGAGTGCCAATGTGCCCACGCCGTGGCACATGGTCGCACTCCCCCTGCGGTGAGCGTGCGGTGTCGTGCGCCCTCGAGCACCTGAGGCGGCAGAGCCCGACGAGAACGCGGCACCGAAGCAGACCCGCGACAAGAAGGAGGACTGAGGGCGCCGCCGCCGCGCAGCGTGCCGGCGCCCGAGGCGGCCGGTCTGCTGCGAGCTCCGGTGCAAACGGCCTGCATCTCGGTCCTCCCACCGTGGGCGGCCGGGAGGGGGGTGATGGCTGGGAGTCGGGTGGATGGATGTCACTCCCTGGGCCATGGCATCTCTTGGCATCGCTCGGACGTGCGCTGTTTTCTTTCGGCGAGGGCCATCGAGGAGTATCCTTGATCATTTGGCGAAAAAGCCACGCTCGAAACCGAACAAAAGCACAGGGAATGGACGTCCGAGCGATGGCGAGATCTCCCCCGATGTCATGGCCCCCTCTTCTTGTTTCCATGCGTCCGCTGGCTCCCCCTGGGCCGCGCGCGTGCTTGCCTCGCGCCGTGGTCTGCGACCTCCCCCCCGCTGGAGCTCTTGGACGCCCCCGATCCCAGCGGCACTCCTGAGGGACTGGCAAGGCGTGGGTACGCGCCGTGTGCGGTTTTCCTCCTCGCCCCCCCCGCTCACACTCGGGGTTGACTGAAGGTCAGTCTCCTCATCTTCCACGTCGTCGTGCTAGTCATCCTCACCATCCTGTCCGGTGGGTTCGCGCTCCTCACCCGCCCTGTCGGGATCACCTCCTCGCTTCCTGAACTTTGCGCCTGAACTCTGCTCTCTGTCTCGCTGCAGTGGCTCGCCCCGCCGCTGTGAGTAGGGGCGATCTCCTTGCACGAGTCCGACCTCCAGACATGCGAGGTCTTGATTCTTTCAATACGCGGTCCCCGGAAGTCCCTCCCCTTTCCCCGTGACCGGTTTCTCGTCCCGAGTCGTTTTTGACAGTCCCGAGGCCCGACGAGGGCCCTCAGAAGCCGAAAACAGCCAAAAACCTCCCGTCGTGATTTTTCTGCGACGCGATCATGTCTGTCTGGGACCAGATCATATCCTAAGTTTTCACCGTCCTCCACCTCTTTCCCCCTGACCCTCTCGGGCGGGCCTATAGGGCAGGGCGAGATCGTTCAGGAGCGCTCTCCAGAACGCCCTCGGAGCGCTGCGGGACGCTCTCGGCAGGCCATGGCGCCCGAGACGTCCTCCGGAAACGCCGGGCCCCAGAGATTCCCGAGTTACCTCGTGGGCGAGAAATCATGATTTTATTTTCCGGCGAGGCCAG